AAAAATAAAAATTAAAAAATTAAAAAAATAAAAAGTACAAAAATGGTAGAGGAAAAACAAAGTATAGTTTTTCCCAAAAAATTTTACTAGAACAACTGTGCACCAAAAAAAGCCCCTTTGATCCATAATTTACATCTCAGAAAAACTGACTCATTGTGGAGTAGGGGCCCTAATGTAAGTCATAAAACATCGTGAGTTGGATGTTTCTTAGGCACAACATCAGAAATATGACCCATAAAAAGAATAAATTGATAAATTGAACTTTATCAAAATTATGTTCCTCTCTACTTGAAAAGATACTGCTAAGAGAATGAAAACATCACACAATGACTTTGAGGACGTCGTTGTAACACACTTTGCTGTTAAGCAATTTGTGTATAGAATGTGTGAAGAACATTGAAAATTCAAGCAGAAAGCAAATAATCTGGCTTTATGAACTGACAAGAGAGTTTAATAAACATGTCATCAGGGAAGCTGTGAGGATGGAGGAAAAGCACCAAAGGTGCTGCACTTCACTCAGCACCACAGAAAAACAAGCCTACCAAGAAATATCATACATCTACTGTAACAGCTAATAAGTTTGACCATTCCAGTGAAGAGACCACATGATCCAGCCATCCCATCCCTCAATAGTTTCCTCAAGAAAAATAAAGCAAGTCTCATACAAACGTACATTTTCATAAAAGCTCCCTTTTCTTATAACTGTGTAGTAGAAAAATCCAAGTGCTAATCAATAGATGAATGGATAAATATCAGCATATTCATTTAGTGATACACTTCATATTTTAGGACAGGATTTCCTGAAATATAATGCGTAGATCAGACTTGTAGTGATCTTCCTGTTTACAGCCTTCCAAGAGCTGGGATTACAGGCGCGCACTACCACGCCCAATCTCATTTGCCATCTCAGTGTGCCCCAGGGGTGGGGCCGGCATGGCAAGCCAGGGATGGAACTCCTGGCCCCTGCTCTGCCTAAGCAGGTGCTTTAATCCGCTGAGCTCTTTGGCTGGCCCTTGTGATACATTATTTAGTAGTACAAAGGTCCTACTAGCACATAATATAAGATGTAGTAATCAAAAATAATTACTCTGAAAGAAAAAATATATAGTATATGATTTAATGAGTACAAAATGCTAATCATATGCAGGAATGGAAAATTCACCATCAGAGCTTTCCTGGAACATGCTGTAGAGGAGGAAGGGAAGATGGTCAGGCAAGATTACAGAAGATAAGAAAAAATGCTTGAAGAGGAAAATCATGTTGATTATTTAAATTATGGAAATGGGCTTGCTTACATATGTGTGTGCCAAAATGTATCATGTTCTGTACATTAAGCATGTGTTGCTTAGCCAGCTGTTGTAGTACACACCTGTTATCCTCACCCTCTGGGAGGCTGAAGCAAGAGTACTGCAAGTTTGAGCCCAGTCTGGTGGACAGTTTAAAAATTTTCAAGACCTTACAAAGAAGAAAAAGGTGGACTGGGGTTATAGTTCAGTGTGAAGGCCCTGGGTTCAATCCCCAGTACTCCCCCCCCCACACACACACACTTAATTACAATCTATTATAAATCAATTATGAGATCTTACAAAGCTATTATAAAATGTAAAACCTTTGTTATCTTTAAAAGATAGGCATGGAATAACACAAAGTAAAACTGAAGGAAAGTAATCTTAGCACAGAAAACTGGAGCTAGGATCAGCACTTCAATTTCTTCTCAGATATACTGGAAAGCCTGACTCTCCTCTCACCTGTCTCCCTCCTTTATTTTCCTTCTTCCTCTCTTCACTCCTCCACTAGTTTCCCCATGCTTCTTCCCTTATCTTTTCCTAATAGCATCACTGTTCCCTCTTCTTCTCAGAGTGCATATCCTTCTTTATTCTTTTCTCCCTACAGAA